TTTTTACTTGTTATCGAAATTGGAACAGAAAAATGAGAACATTAATAATCGTTTTTTTTTTTATAAACACCGTTGTGGGTTCGAATATTCCTGTATATATGATAAATGTATATGAAGTTTACGCTCCTTTACCTTTTCTTTTTTTTGTAAAATAAATTTATTTTTCATATCCAAGGGGGTTGCCAAGTTTTTGCAGTCCTGCACTTTTCCCCGTTCGCTTGTAATGAAAAAAGAAAAAAGAGGGGAATTAACATAGAGTTCGCAAAGTGGCAAGCAGGAAGAAAAGAAAGAGGAATAAAGAGAAAAGAAGCCGCATGCGCGTCAATCTGTTGGAGAACCGCGTTGAGATGATCGGTTAATCGGTTAGCAGCCCAAGTAGAAGCGCGATCTTATCGAACAACAACGTAACCCCCACAGGTGAGAACAAGATGATTCGAAAAACGTACAAAAATTTCAACGACCCCCGAGACAGCAATAAAACGTTGAACCTGTGCTTCCTGGTTCACTCGAGTTACTACACAACGTTGGAGTTGGAGGAAGAAGATTTGATAAACAGTGAAATACGACACAACTTCCTGAAGATCGCAAGAAAAATTAATTTATATGAAAAAACAGAACCACAGAGAAATTACAAAAAAACAGATAACCTAGCCAGAGAGCTAAGCTATGTCAAGAGCTGGGAACTATTAAAACACACGTATAAATTTAAGATACCCATTTTATTTCAAAATATAGAGAAATTTAATTTGCACGACAATGAGGTGATTAATTATTTTTCGATAAATTACTATGCGAGGGAAAAGCATTTAGTGAGGAATAAAACAATGGCAACAGTACATAAAGACAGGTGCTTTATCCTAGACACGGATATGATTTACTCCATGACCCCAGAGTACATTGCCAGGAATATTGGGCAAAGCATAATACCAATGGAGAAGAAAGAATTTAGGCGGAGGACGAAGGTTAGAAGGGACACAGCGCTGCCTTTGTGTGAAAGGAAGAAGAGGCGTTACAATGAAAATGAGTTGGTGCGGAAAGACACCGGAGAGGGGGGGTCGTTCGAAGAGCTGGTGCTTAGCGATGAGGGCAAACACGTTGGTGAGAAGGTGACACGGAGGGAGGAAGCAGATCAGGCAGAACTAGTGAAAGTGGACGAAGAGGGCAAAATGGGAGAAGTACCGGTAACACACGGGCAGACAAGGGGGGAGGCCCCCTCGAGTGCGCCCAATCCAACCAAAAAGGTGAATTCAGACAAAGTGCTAATTTACCTGGACCCCTTTTGCGGGGCTGGCGGAAATAGCCTAGATATGTCGAACGTTTTCACCATCTCCTCAGATATCGAACTGGTGCGAGTGAAGGAATGCCAACATAATTGCAAATTTTATAATAACAACGTAGACTTTATTGTGTGTGATTTTTTTAAATTAGTAAATTCATTTAGGGAAAATACAATAGATGTAGTTTTCCTCAGCATCCCCTGGGGAGGACCATCATACAAGAAAAAAAAAAATTTCAAGTTAGACTTCCCAGGGAAGAAGTTAACTGTATATTCCTGTTTGAGGGAATCCATGAAGTTAACAGAAAATCTAATTTTTTATTTGCCTCGAAATGTGCGTATGGTGGATTTGTATGGCTTATTCTTGTACTACCAAGAATTGGTCAATGGAAAAAATAAATTAAAAGACCAGAAAATATCGAACGAACTTTTTATCGAGGTCTATGTCAACCGAGTTAGGTGCGTAGTGGACAAACAACAGGACAAAAGTGTCGAAAATTTTCACTATTTTTTTAACAGGCAGTCAGACATGCCGAGCAACGAGTTCGACATTGAGAAGCAGGGAAATTTGTTCAGCATCAACATAGATAAATGCAACCAATTTTTGAATCTTCCCAAGGTGAAAAAGAAGAAGAAGACCATTGGGCACGTGGAGGACATTTACAAGATTAATGTGAAGGGGCAGAGCAGTGGGGCCAAGGCAACAGCGGAGGCGAAAAGCGAAGGAGGTGCAAAAGACGAAGGAGGCACAACAGTCCAAGTACAATCAGGTGTCAAAACCGAAACGACGAGGAGCAGCAACGCCACGGATGAACGATCTGATCGTAGTAAGAAGAAGAAGCCCGCGTCTCTGTGGAAATGGCACAACACGTGCATGGTTGTATACCTGGGCAAAATAACCAAAGTGCTAAAAAAAAACAAAACGATCAATTACAACAGTATATACTACCTGGACAAGGAATTATCGAAATGTAACATGGAAAAGGTGAGAAGCAGAGGCAAGACGAATTTTTCCCTATACAGACATTTATGCAATAAGAAAAAAAACGTCATTCACAATATCACGAGGAGAGTCGAAAAGAGAGAAATTTGTGTAGACAAAAATGAAAGGACATACAACATTCTAATTAATCAAAGAAATGTCTTCTTCCTAAATTACTTTATTGATAAAAAACTGAACCAACTGATGAGCAAAATCCTTGGCCTTTTTTTTAAGAATGTAAAAAATATTATGGGGTTTGAAAAAGTCAGCTTTTTAAATAAAGTATTTATTAACCTGGACAATCCCATGTTTAGGGCCTTAACGAGAAAGTTAGCAATGGGACAGAACGTAAAAAAATATGAAACGTATATCTATTCGGACATGTTGAGTAAAAGTTGCGGCTTGTACGTGATAACAGATTATTTTAACATGATTTTGAGTGAAATTAAAAAAGTGGTGATCATTCTGTTTGGCATTTATTTGCACGACATGAGTTTTATGAAATATTTTTTTAAATTTTACAAAGCAAAGGTACCGATAGAAAAATTGAGAAATAAGGAAAGTTTTAAAAACATCCACTATACCATTGTTCGACTCCTGTTCAAATTTGTCCTCTACATTGATTTGTTTAAGAATGTTCTAAGCAATAACATCAAGTTGGAGGAATTTTTCAACAAAAATATTGTAAGTACGGGGCTGGCGGATTTATTGGAATATTTGGACATTGCAAACAATGACTATGACTTTATTAAGCATAAAAATAAAAAGGACTTTTCCTTTTCATTTAAAAATTTAATCAAAAAAATTATTTCCCTTTCTGTGAACATGGAGATTAATGAGAAGTTGATACACACGGAGGAGATTACGAATCTGTACTTCCGATTTTTGTTCAACGTGTATGAGCCGAATGTCCTCCTGCACCAACTGCAGAGTAATCTTTACGAAGATGAAGAAGAGGAAAACTTACAGCAAGATCCAGTGAAGTGCTACCAGTGGCACTTGTGCCTAACCACGATGAACTTTTTCACCAAGCAGTTTTTTTACAATATGAACATAATGTCCTTCCTGGATTATTTCAATTCGCTGATTTATTTCTACTTCAACCAGATGTATGTTCTGTCCAAGTGTCACCAGAATTATTCTAATTTATTTATTAATCGTTTGAATAATTTTCTCTATGACAATTTTTGCGTGAAAATTTTGTAGCTTTTTTACGGGCGCACCGCCGGTGGCGAAGCCGTTAATATCCTTTTTGTTCCATAGTGATCTACTTGTGTCGCGTGTGCACCTACTAATCCGGCGTATTCTACATTTATTTCTGTAGCTTCTCACCTCCGTTTGACGGCTGAGTAGGCTCGGCCCCAGCATACGTGCAAGCAGCTGTCACCCCGTGTGTACAACTCATCACGGATGTATTCCTAGTTGTATACACATTAACATTCAGCGAATGCTGCCAATACCTGTAACCATAAAAAATGTTTTTTTTTAGTAAATCGCCTTTGAGTTTTTTTTTTTTTTGAATCTCCTATTTTTTGTTTTTCCCATCATCCAATTAACACAAAGGTGTTAATTCACATTCGGAACCATAGACACAACTAAGCGTGTACAGACGTTCCCTTCTAGAAGTTGGCAGGGAGGGTCGTGGTGGTAAAAATGGGAGTTCCCTCGACCCTGTAATGCATCGAGTCTGTTCGGAATAGTTTTAGAAAAGGGAGCACCAGATGTGTGCACATGAGTACATTCTTGTGTACACATCTATCGGTGTTATGTATACCCTTGCAAATGATCGTTCTACTCCCCTCCTCGTTTTGCTATTCACCTGACTGCTTAAAGGGGGAAAATAATTTGCCAAAAGGGTACGGCATGTATATCAGTAGAGATGCACATTTTTAGTAGCCATGGGGAAGTTATAATGTAGTTATGTGCGCACCTTTGTATGAACCCCTCATTGGATGAAACAACTCGCGGGGAATAGAGCAAAAATCATCAGATAAAAGGAAGAAAGAAAATTCATACACGGATGACATTTTATAAGATGCTGCGAAATAGAAAGTAAATTCTCATAAGTGAACTCAGTGTGAAGTGCAAAATTGCGGAAAAATAATTCCGTTCGCTTAAAAAGGGAAGGGAACGCTTCTTCCAAATCGCATTTGAGAAGGTAGACGGAGATAGGCCTATACACGTTGCCAGTACGTCCAAAATTGTGAGGAAAAAAAAAAAAAAAAAAGGGCATCACATGGAAGTTCCTGTTATATTTAAAATATTAAACACGAAAATGATAATCGAACTGTTTGGTTAAACACCTCTGGTTTCTAAGATGGAACGCATTTCTTATGACCGCCCCTACTTTTAACGAAGATGAAAATACCGAACCCCCGCGTTTATTTGGATGTTGCCATAGGGGGAAGGAACGCTGGAAGGTTGATATTTGAGGTGAGCCAGGAGTTAACCAAAAAGGGGGAGCACCAAAAGGAAGAAAGAAAAGCTGGGGGAAGAAAAATATGAGCGCAAACCACGCACAGCCGCAATTGGAAGCATAACTAATCAGGGTCTTCCTTTTCCACCTCTGCAGCTGTTCATGGATAAGTTACCAATCACCTGTGAAAATTTTCGCTGCCTCTGCACAGGTGAATTACCTCACCTAGGGGAGGGATCTTTTAAGAAATAAGTTAGTGTAAATTGTTTTCTTCTTCCATTTAGCGGATTTTTTTTTTTTTCTTCTTTCGAAGGTGAGACAGGCCTGGGTTACTACCTGAAACCGCGCTGGTACAAGAATTCCCCCATTCATAGAATTGTCACAGATTTCGTAAGGCACCTAAAATGGCTACGACAGATGTTTAGCAACTAAAGGTGCATTTGTGTAAACCTATCCTAGTGATTTGTATGTATATGTTGACCCCAGTGCTCCTTCCCCAAAACATACACATTATGTGCTCTTTGTACCCTCCTCCCCTCTGTTTAGATGTTCCAAGGAGGGGACTTCAATTTTGGGAACGGCTTTGGCGGGGAGTCCATATATGGACAGTACTTCCGAAACGAGAAGTTCATCTACCGGCATTCGAAAAGAGGTCCCACGGGAGGGAAAACGAACAGAGTGGAGCAAAACGAATGACACTTGATTTCACGACCACTCTGTGGATGGGTTCTTTTCGCTACATATTCGTAGAAACTTCCTCCTTGAGACTTCCTCATTTTATTACGCCCACGTAGGGACGCTTATATATCTGTATGCGGCGAATGCTTGCTTACATTTCTCTCCCCCCCTACTTACAGGCGTGCTGTCCATGTGCCAGACGAGGATCAAACACACAAATAACTCCCAATTTTTTGTAACCTTTAAAAGTTGTCCATGGCTGGATAAGAAGCATGTGAGTGGGGGGTATAACCCTAAGGTGTTTCGCTTTTTTGCGAGGTGTCGCAAGATCCTGTTAATCGATTGATTTTCTCGGCTGATTTGCTAACTGGCTGATTTCTTCATTCCCTGTAGGTGGTTTTTGGGCACCTGGAGTACGGATTTGACACCCTGTCGTTTATTGAGGAACAGTCTACTCTAATTGGGAAGCCGAAGAAGCAAGTCTATATTTACAACTGGTATGGTTTCGCTGTACAGTATGGGGACGATGGCCTTCTCAGACGTGTGCAATCGTGTGGGAGGAACACACAAATACATTCCAGTGTGCGCCCCGCTTGTAGCACATCAGAACTGTATTGGTCGAGCCGATTACACTCTTCCTAATGCGCAACCTTTCTTTCTCCCATTTACAGCGGGGTGATACCACTGGATCGAATCAAACCCAAGTCGCAGGCTACGTCCGACGATGATTACGTCATACCGGTAAGGAGAGAAGAAATGGTCCACACCCTGTTGTATGTCACAACATGCTCCGGATTGCCCCTACATACAGCGTGTTCTTATTATGGAGACATAGTTCTCTCAAGTGTGCGTCCCCTTTCGCTTCGCTGCCCTTGCAGGATGTAGAAATGCCGCTGCTGGAGCGGGACATCCATTTTAACGAAAATGCCGACTTCAGCGAGTTGAAAAATATTTACAAGTATAGCAAGCGCGTTTGAGCGAAAGAAGAGGGAAAAAAAACATAAGAAGAAGGGGGAAAAGAAAAAGAAAAAAAGGCAAAAAGTGCAAAAAATGCCAAATAAAAAACGTCTTCACTAATCAGTTATAAACGAACAGATACACCTTATTAATGTAAATGAATGACTTGTGTTTGTCCGACTTGAAATATAAGTTTGTTATAAATTTGTTATTTTTTTTGTTGCATTTTGAGTTATACTTGTACTGGTAAAGCGGTATTTTTTTGTCCTTGAGAATATTTTTTTCTCTTCGCTCGATTACGCTTAAGGTTACGATCGGGATTTCATCGTACTTTTCGTTGCTCCTTGACATAACGCCCAGACATTCGAAGTTGTTGTTCTGCGGGATGGTTTGAATGGAAGGAGTGTGATGCAGGAGGGTTTTCTCACATTGGGAAGGTTTCAAATATAGGGGAAGTGGGACATTTGCAAAATGTCAAATGAGTAACGGGTTTGGAATCCCTCATATGAGCAACGCAAGTGGGAGTTTCTTGCATGGGAAGCAAACATATGTACGGAAGCATGTGTAAAAATGTACGCGTAAGCATATGTTCATGCGAACTGCCTGTGCCCCCTACCAGTGTGTGCAACCCCGACACATCCACGTCGCAGCAGGAATCCACCTCGTAGTGGACATAATCGGAGTAGTTAATCTGGTTGGATGAAAACGCGTCCTCTTCATCACTGCTGTAGAAGAAATTTTTCTGAAAATGGGGCGGAGTCTTTCTCGTTTTCATCTCCAGGGTGTTATTTATGCTGGACAAAAATATGCAGTCTGCTAATTTTTTTTTATGCACAAAACTGAATTTAATTAACAGGGCTTTAAAAAAATTTAACGGATCGAAAAGATATTGTATATTATAGAAACGTAATTCCCCTGTGATGTTCCAAAAGTACAGCTGCTCCTTCACGTTTTCGTAGTATGTAACAAAACTGTCGATTGTTTTTATTTTTCTGTTAAAATTGGAAATCCATTTTGTTGGCACTTCACTTAGAGAAAGGGAAATCATAATTAGCTTCGTCTCTTTGTCGATTTTTTTTTTATTTTTATTTAACTCCTGCTCAATTTTGATTATATCATTGTACACGGAATTTGTAATTCGTCTAAATTTCTCTGTTTCGTTTGCGCAACATGATTGGATGGTCGTTATGTTTCCTTTGGCCCACTCTGCATTAATGCTGATGCTGTATTTGAATGTGCACTTTAGCTTCTTAATCAATTCGTAGAATTCGTTCATTTTTTTTATCTTCTTTAGGAAGTCCATATTTTCCGCTTTGCGTCTGTTCACCGCTTCCTCCTCCCTCGGGCTCCAGCTGTATGTCTTTGTGAAGAATTTTGTGTCGTCGCTGTTGTCATGGTTATTGTTATCGTTTTTGTCATCGTTCCTATTCTCGTTCTTGTCATCGTTCGTATCATCGTTTGTGTCAGACGTGGTTGGGCCATCACCATGTTGAGTGGCATGGTCAACTTCAAGGGCATCATTTGTCTCTACCCCGTTTGAGCATTCACGTGTGTCCTTTTCAAGCCATTCTTTTGCACACGCAGTTGGTTTATCTGCGCCTCGAGGGGACTTTCCACTTTGCTCATCATCTGTGTTGAGTAACGAACTCGAATAGTAGTCACTGTCCAGGTTGAAGAAAATATCGCCGTCATTGTTTTCTTTGTTGTATATTAAAACTTCGTCGGTGCAGATTTTTTCCAAATTTTTGAGCATCTTTTCGTTGTACTGTTCGTGCTGCTTCTTGTCAGCTTCGATTTTCATTCCGTATGTTTTGCAGCTGTTGAAGAGAGGGTAGCTCTGAGGTTAGAAGGAAGTGCGAACAGGATGTGGGAGGCAAAATGGGCATACATACGTAGGTACATGTCTATAGAACGCGGTGCAATGTGTGGAAGGAGGGAGAACACGGTCAGGGAAATAACCTCCCCAACCGTTCTCCACTGTAACTTCCCCCTGTTGGGATACACCCTGTTGGGAGATACCCCGTTGACCTTTACCTTAACCAAATTGATATACTCCTTGATGGATCGATTCATTACAAATTTGTAGTCGAAGTTTTCATCGGCAGAGTAGACGAACTCGTTTTTCTCGTTAAACGCGTATTCGTTGAAGTATTCCTTGACGTAGCTTTTTATGATCTTCCGATCATTGGCGTTGACTTTGTTTCCGTACCCATTTAGGATGATCTCCCTGTAGGAAAGCAGGAGGAGGAGGGGGTAGTTCAAAAGGGGAAGCCGCCGTACTGTGTATCACATTTGGTGTAATTAAGCATGTGGTGAGGTGAGAAGGACACAGCACGGGTTGTATATGGTGGAGTACGCTCATTTTCGCAGCTGTTTCAATTTGGGTCCTACTTTACGAAGGCCCAGTTGATGTTCACTTCCTGGATAGACTTCTGCTCGTGGGTGGGTTTCTCACTAAGAAGATTAGAAGTGGGTGTACACGAATTAGAGCCTCCAGGTAACGTTGCGTTCATTTGAAGAAAATCCAAATATGCAAGGAGACAGTCGAATGTATTTTCGAAATCCTTCACGTCGAAGTAGTAAGGTTGATCAAAACCGTAATTATCGTAATTGCATCTGGATGATAGAATGCTATGGAAAAAGGAAAGAGAAAAGAGGAAAGAGTTTACAAAGTTATTTTTTAATTTGTCTTTATACATATGATGGACGTAGGGAAACAACTCTGTGAGGAAATTTTTTAAGTATTCATTTTTGTGTGAATATATTTTAATGGCTTTCTTCATAATCGAAATGGAAGTCTCTCCCTTTTCTGATGTTAAGTACATTTCAAAATTGGAATGAATTTTTTTGCTATTATAAATTTCGTAAAATTTTTCAATGTTGAAATTTATCAAGTGGAAATTCTCTAGTAATAATTTATTTCCATTTTGTAGGGAAGTTTCTATGACTATTTGTATTTCAGTATTGAAGTTATTTCCCACGCTGAGCGTTTTTGTGCCTCTATGTTTGAGCAGAATGGGATCATAACAAGTGTTCGGTTCTGTAATGTACATAAACGTTTTCGCATCTATGTAATTTAGATCCTTCGATAGATTCAAAGGGGTAGGGCTGTTCATATTTTCAGACAAGTCCAAATAATTGGAGAGCAAAAAGTGTAAGTAGTAGTAGAGCCTATCCTTCCTCATAATGTACAGAAATAGAATCACTTCTAGTGTTTCTAACTTCTCTAGTTGCGGTTTTTTTAGAAAGAACAAATTATCTTCCGGCCTCTTGTCCTTGTACCAATTGAGGTATTCCATAGAGTTATTCTTCATATCTTGAATGAGCGCTTTGAAATTTGGGGATTGGCTGTGCAGAAATTGGAGCTGTCTTTTCTTCTTCTCATTTAACCACTCTATTTTTAGAGAGAGCGCATCGGGTGTATTCATGCTTGCAATTTTTTCAACTTGTAAAAAGAGGGAGTAATACTTTTCCTTTTCCACTTTGATAGACCTACCAATGTGATGGAGCTTCTTTTCTTCGAATATTAAGGAGGAGTAAAAGAGGAAGCTGAAAAAGAGATGGTCCTTCTTATGTATCGTGTTTAACAGGAAGACGAAGCAGTTGTGTGTGAATTTTTTTATCAATTGATTGAAGTTACAAATTAGCATCTTCTTGTTGATGTGTTTAATTAAGTTGTTCAGGATATTTAGCAAATAATTAAAGTTGAAGCTGTAAGTCGATTTTGCTCTGGACTGTTTCTGGAGCACTTTGTAAATGGTATGGAATCGGTACCCCAGGAGCTTTATATTTTCCGAAGAGTTTTTAATTTTGTTAATTTGCTGTTTGTACTCCTTGAGCATTTTCTTTATTTCCATTTTTTTCAAAACGTTGCTATTTATAACGTTCATCAAATTTTTGTTGTTATTAGCTTTGTGGTTAAATGTACAGAGCTCGATGATCATTCCGTCATCCAGAAACTTCAGCGTCTGTTTGGTCTCGTAGAAGTTTCTAATCTTCGTGTTAAAGTTGATGACGTTTTTTTCGTCTTCGTGTTTCAGTATGATGTTTACAATTTTGTTCACTATTAAGTTTTTGTCTATCTGGAAGTCAATGATGTTTACGTAGTCTTCCACGTCTTGGAAGTACCTGTCGCTGGAGTCGCTCACGAGGAAAAGCCTGAACTGGCTGTTGTACTCCAGCTTCTTCTTGCCTGCAGAGGGGGTGTACAGCGAATGGGAAGCACCAAACGGGACGGTGTCGGTCTCATCGGGACGCTTCTTAACAGAGCGCATCTTAAGAGGGCGCTTCTCATGAGGGTGTACCTATGTTGATGTAGTACTTCCCGTTGGCCAAGTACACATTGCGCTCGATGACGGGCTCCAAGATGCTGTAGTTGGAATTCAACTTGATCTCCCTACGGTTTAGCCTAAATTTCAGGAAGTTTCTCTTGGCGAGGAGATCCACCCGCACGCGTTTGAAGTTGTCCTCGTGTCGATCATCGCAGTTGAATCCCTCGTCATTGTTCTTATCATAGATGTACAAATTTTGGAAATTAAAAAATGGAATGATCAAGGTTCTTCCGTATATTATGCACATGTCTAAATGTTTGCTTAAATTTTCATCAAAATTGTGAATGACCAAGTTATTGCTGTAACTTTTTTTGAGCCACTCGATTCCGATGTTTTGTTGGTCCAGTAGCAGTGGCCACCTGAAATGGTTAAGCGAGATTAGCGCATTCTGAATGTAAAAAATGTGCCTAGGGAAGTTGTCCGATATGAAGAACGAGACGATGCTGTCACATGAGTAAATACTTTCTATTTTGATGTCTTCCCTTATGAGGATATTATTTTTTTTTATAATTTGTTTCCATTTGTTGAGCAAGTAGCATCTGTACTTGTAGTTAAAAGGAGAGGAGTAATTTAAGAAAAAGGAGAAGAGCAAAACTTCTGACACGATGTATTTATAATTATTCTCAATTTTTTCAATCGTGTAGATATATTTTTTTTGTATTTTTTCTAAAAATTGTTTGATTTCAGAAATGGGCAAGTAGGATTTATTAATTATTTGTAATTTTTTATTTAAATTTTCAACAACTTCTGTATGTGTGTGTATATCCCTTTTGTTGTTTATGATGGTGGATTTTATTTTGTGCATTTGTTCCATTAGCTTTTGGTTTTCATTTTCGTACTGTTCTTTTTTTAATTTATTATTTGAAATGGTTTCTTGCATCTGGCAGCTACTCTTGTAGTACTCCTTATATTTAATGAGGAAGGTAATCCACTCGAAAAAGTGCGTAAACAAGTTGTTCGTTTGGATGATTTTCTTCGTGCTGTAGACTATCTCATCTCTGGCCATATATTCCTTGATTCTCTTAACCTGCTTATCAGTAATATTTTCCTTCTTGAAATTGAAAAAAAATTTTGAAAAGTTTTCCTTTGCGATAAAATTTTTAAAATAATTCCAATTGTCGTTATTATCATTTAGGAAGGAGTTCCTCACCAGTGTGTTTATCATAATCGCTATACACATTTGTGTTAAATCTGGAGTCCCTATTTTTAGTATATTTTTAATTTCATTACTTTCTACATTTTGAATTTTGAAGATGATATTGATGCATTCTTCTTCAATTTGTTTCTCAGATTCGTTTTTACTTTCCATCATTTCGTCAATATCATTTGCGACTTTGCTCAGCACTTGTTGATTTGCGTTAAACTGTTGTTCTGTGTTTTGGAGTATCTTCGAATATGTCTTAATGGAATTGTGCAGATGCTCAATTTCTTCTTCGATTTTCTTTATGGACGAGTGAACGGACTGTATTTCTTCGTTCATGCTGTTATAATTTTCGAATATGCTTTCTACTTTTTTCAGCCCCATTTTGAACATATGCAGTTGTTTATTTTTGTAGTTTAATTTATTTTTTAGTAAAATGTAAAACATGATTAGTGCGTCCGTAAAGTTGTACTTGTTAATTCGTATAAAATCCAAGTTGGAGTTTTTCTTTTTTAAGAAGCTTTTCAAATCGTAGTATACTTGTATGAACACGTCCACGACATTTTCGAGTTGCGTCTCAATCATGCTGTAATAACTGTACTTATTTACTTCTTCGTTGAAATTGTTCAATTCGTGCATTGCTTTTTTGTTGCAGTCCTTCAAATTGAGGTAGTCCTTATTTTTTGCGGCTTCTTCGTTTGCTCCTTTTGGAAAAGAATCTTCACCCGAGTTTTTTGTTTCATCTTTCTCCGCCGTTTCCTGCGCATCATGGGCGTCTTGTTCCTTCTTCTGAGGTCCCTCCTCGTTGTCCTGTCCCTCCACATCTTTTCCGCTTTGATAATATTCGTCCTTGCTTGGGTCCTCTTTCGGTTGGTCCGTCTGTTTATCATCTCGGTGGACATCGCTATTATCGCTGGCTATGATACCTCTTGCTGCGTCATTCGTGAGCTTCTCGCTTCCGCCGTCTTTTGTATCCTCCCCCGTTTCGCATTCTGTATTTTCCCTCATTGGTTTTTTTGGCATAGCGTTTTGCATTTGGCTCATTTCTTTCTTGCTACTTTTTTGGCCCGTCTTTTGGGAAACTTTCTTATGTGTTGGTTTGCCCTTCAGATTATGTGTATCTCTTTCTCCGTTCTTTTTGGTGTTAGCCTTGGTTACCCTCTTTAGCGGCACGTTCTCTTTTCTCATCATTTTGGGGCCTCCTATGGGTTGTCTTTCTTTCCTTTCATCGTTTTGTTTGGACGAATTAGCAGTGATTTCGCTTTTCGGTGGAGGCCCGTTTTTGCCTGTTATTCCCTTTTTGATGAGTTTATCACCGGGTCTTCTCGCTGTAGTTTGAGGCCCCAACGAAAGTATTCCTTCCTTAATGTGCGACGCCGACGTGGCTTTTCCCTCATTAGTTTTAAGATTCTTTTTCTTGTCATTTTCCTTTCCATTCTTCGTTCCATTACTGTTTATCTTCTTCTTGCTTTGTTCCCCTTCTTTCTTCTTGGAAACACTTTTTTTTTCATTTTCACTTTGGTTTTTTTTTTTTCCTTTTCTTATCTTCTTCTTCTCCTCGGGTACTCCCTTATCGATGTCATCATTTTTGTTCAGTTTGTCTTTTGTTTTCTCCGCATCCTGGTTTGGCTTCCCGTGGGGATCTGTTTCGCTTTCTTCGTCATTCGGCTTGGGGAAATTTCCTTCTGTTTGGTTATCCGCATCATGGCCATCATGAATCACACCATTTTCATCATATGCTTTAGCGTGTTCGCTTCCGCTCTCCTTTTCCGTTCCACGATGCGCTTCTTTTTTTCCACCCGTTGGAGCGTCTGCCGTGCTGTCCACCCCAGCGCCTGTCTGGTTTTCTCCCTCATTTGGAAGGACATTCTCCCTTTCGACTTCACTTCCTTTTTCATTTTGGCCCACCTTCGGGTTATGTTTTTTGTTTTTCTTTATGTAATCCTCCGAGTTGATGAAAATTTGGTTGGCCTTATTTTTCCCCTTTGTCTTTTCCCTCTTCTGAAGCGCGATGCTTTTGCCTTCCTTTTCTATGTCATCTTCCAGCGTATTTAGGATGGCTTTCTTTTTGAAGTTGTTCAGTATATTATCGATGAAGTGATTTTCTTTGTGGTTCTTTAAGAAGAGGTGGCAGTAATTCGTGTACTCCTCCCTGGACCAGCTATCCAGGTGCACAACATTTACGTCGCTGTACACATTTTTGTAATTTTGAAAATTGCTGGAGTAAAGATCGAACCATTTCTCGTGAACTAGACAAACGTAGGTATTCTTTTTCATCTGTAGGGGGTGGTGAAACAGGAAAGGGTGGATATCTACATGTCGTTGTTATGGTGGAGAGGAACAAGAGGGAGGCAACAGTACACACATGTACATAACGTGTAGTGACAACGTTCCTATTTGGAAAAAGAGTTTTCTCTCCGTTAAATGGGAAGGGGGACGGCATAGTTCACAAAGTGGAGGACATATTTCAGTCCCTTCATCGATATTTGCTCTTTTTTTTTTTTTTTTTTTCTTGGCCATTACAATAGTTTGGATGTTCTCCCACTTGAGTTCATTCGATATCAAATTCGTTTTTGTGTACAAATGGAAAAGTTCCTTTTTGTCAAAGAGAGCAGAGGGAAACTTTTTATAAATTAGGGAGTAAAAATAATCATCAAAATGGTAGGAATGATTTATGAGTATAAATAGGTGTCTCTTAAATCTTAATCTGTTGTAGTAGTTAATTTTGTCTTGAGAAGTTTCCAAATTATTAGACTTGTTAATCAGTACAGTATTTATATTCAACATGAAGGCAATGGCATTTAGCAATATGATGGCTCTCTTTTTGTTCATACAAATGAGCATCGAAGAATTTATGTTTTTACTTATATTTTTGTGGACTTGTACTATATTTCTGAAGTAAAATTCTACGAACATTTTTGTGTTAATGTATAGGTTGTTGTAGCTGCTTAGACTCCTCACGAATTCGTCTTTCAGGGAATCTGCGTCGATTTTTTCGTGTACCTGTGGGGTGGGGGAAGGACAAACATGTAGAGCGCACGAGCGGAGAAACTCTTCAGGAGTGAAAGGGTTCTTTAAATAGGTTTTTTTCTCCTCCTTTATCCCCCTTTCTTTCTCTTTCTCCATTTCTCTACCTCTTTGGAAAAGTAATTAAAGTAGGTAAACGAACTTTCCTGGTTTAGGTGCTGAAAATGCTTCCCCGCCATGGCTGAAAGAAGGGGGAAATGGAAAAATGGTAACTCTGTTTTTATGAATGGTGATGAAGAGGATGGGTGAAACGGAAGATTAGCACTAAAAAGTTCCCCGATTATTTTATCATTCATTACTTCTCATCGTTTTTAGAATGTCCTTTCTGTTATCCTTTTTGAGGATCCTATTGAGGATGATGTGTTCGGCACTTTCACTGCGAAGGGGAAAGTAAAGCATCCGTGTGTAGAGGGAAAACATGCGGTTTTACTTTATTGGGCTGTGTTATATATATGGGTTAAGGTGCATTTTTTGCACGGCTATCTTCCTATATCTTTTTTTTTTTTCCTTTTTATCTGTTCGTGCTCTCTAGATACCACCAATTTGCGACGACGTCCTGCTCATTTTGAAAATTCCACTTGGTGTAGAAGAAGTCTTGGTAAAGTAGAAAAATATTTTCCTTTGTGAACAGCAAGTGGTTTTCCTTTTTCTCCTCAAAATTGATATCTTCGTGTATTTTGAAGAAGATATCCATGCTGTAATTTACTAGCTTGGTGTGTATGCCCTGGGACGAGGAGGGAGAAGCGGTGCGAGGCATATGTGTGTATATTTGTTCAGGGGGGGTAAGAAAAATAAGGAGTATGCAAAAATGTGTACACACGCTCGTCAACATCTGTACGATTTTGTTCTACCTGGAATGCACCCTTCAGAGTATGATTGACGATCGCGCTAAAATAACCCACTAGGCCCTTTCTGCTGTTGTTTAAAAAAATCGAGGCGTAAGAATAGAAAACAGATTGGTAGTAGCTATTCCTTTTCATGTGCTCGAAGTTTAGGGATATTATACTCTTCACATTTTGGACGCTAAGGGCTTTATTCTCGAAGTAACACAAGTTCCTTTGCAAATTGTGCAAGAATTCGATGGAAGGGTTGTTGCCTTTTTCCTGAGAATGGGAAAATAGTCCGTGGAGGTAGTGGGATGAAAGTCGGTGCAGATGATGGGGTGGATGTCGCCGCAGGTAGTTAGATTAGAACTGCGCAAGAAGTGGAATCGAAACAGGTGGACGCGGGTGACTCTATTGGCCTCAGGCTCCGCTCCTGCTCCCTTCCATTCCTCATCTTACGTAATTAATGTGGATGTCGTCTATGCAGATATAAAGGACCGAGTGGTGGAAGTACTTTTTGACGTTTTTTTTTGTCATTTTCTCATAGAGAACTTTAAAATTTAACACATTTGTGTGTTTCAAAACGTCGATCATGAGGTGGTCAATTTTGGAGTGATTGGTCACGATTTCTTTTAGTATGGCCGTTTTGCAGTTTTCTGAGAGGGGGGCACAAAAATTAGGGTATCATGAGGGGAACCCCACAAATATTAATTTGGAAGGAAAGGAAGAGAACAGAACATTGGATAAAAGGGTTCACAGTGGGAAGTCTGCCTATGTTAATGTACCGCCCATGTGGGGACGTGTTAGTCGTTAATTTTTCCCCTTTTTGAATAGTCAAAAGGAGAGAAGATGTACAAACTGTGGATTGTTCTACATGGATATTCAACACATGTCCGTATTGCTAAGTGCGTATGGATGGTCGCATAGGATTCGTGTTACTTGTGCTTCCGATCAGGGAAATGTTGGACTCGCCCTTGTAGAGCAAGCTAATCGAGTTGAGCCTATTCTGCATTTCTTCGTCGTAAAATATTAAGAATTTTTCGTCCAGGTGGTTTTTTGGAGAAAACTGCACGTGGGTGAAGTGAAAAAAAAAAGGGTTGTGTGACTTCCATTTGGAGAGTGGCCTCACTTTATGTTTAGAGTCTATTGCCCATACGCATGCGCATGGAGAGCATCGCGCTGGGGTTACCATAAAAAAGTCGCCGATGGGAATCCACGCGTCCTTCTGTATGTGGTAGAAAGAGCTTCCCAAATTGCTGCCAAAGTTGACGTTATTAGACGAAGCCAACTGTTTTAAGAAGATAAAAAAGTTAGATTTATCCTGATCATTTAAAAAATTGTTAAACAAGAAAACGAGACAACTTAATAGAATAAAAAGAGCCTTCTCTTTAATGATTGAAATTTTAGAGATTTCTTTCTTGCTATGAAATTCCACTTTTTTATTATTTTCCGCTTCAGCTTGTAATATACACACATTCTCTATGTAATTTTTGTTTATATTATCCAAGTCGTATTCCTCGTTAGTGACGCATTGCTCGTAGTTTTGTTCAGTTAGTTCTGCTTCCTTCTGGCAGTGTATGCCCTTTTGTGATTCTACCATTTGTGGCAAAGTAGACAAATCGTTATGTTCACTTCCTGTTCTGTCGTCCTCAGTGGGTAGCAGCTGGTTGAGTTCCCGTTCTCTTAAAAAAATTAATATGTTGCTTTTAAAAATGTCCATGAAATTATTTATGATTACTTTCTCCTCCACATTGGTATGGAACAAACAAGAGCGCGATACATGAGCATCACCCAGGGTGATATTTTTTACGTCTTCTTTTTTATAAAAATTATTTATGTTAAAATGATTTCCTTTTTTCTTTTCTATGTAATGAAAAATGGGAAGAAAGAAATTTCTATAAAATAACTTCAACTCATCGTACAATTCGATGAGGATTCTCTTTTTTTCCTCATAGTTGTTCATATAAGTTAAGGACGTTTTATCATTCTCTGGTTTCTTTTCAAAGAAGAAGTTTGTGTTAAGGATGCCGTCTATCAATTTGGAGCTTTTGTTTTTAAAATAGTTGTAAATGTTGGTGTTGTCCTTGATGGAAATTTTGTTCATTTTGTTCATCAGGTATGGATCCATGGCGGATATGTCTTTGCACTTGGGGGGGAAAGAGGACGTATTGGGCAGTGAGGAAGTATTTGGGAAAGTATGTAAGGGTGAGCACTTCAAGGAGCGATTCGCATAACAATAAGGGGGAAATATAAATGCCTTTTGGTGAAGATCTAACTTTTTACATGCCTAATTATTATGAATTGTGTGTAATTAACTGATTGAGGCGTTGCAGGTTTTTAATTATCTATGGAATTGAGTAACTAAGGTTTGGCCCTGACCGTTGCCTCCTTTTCCGCTACACGTGCGTTTCTACTTTTCCGATGGGGGAATTTGCCTATTCTTGTAAGCCACCTCTGTGGAGATACGTTATTAACTACGCTATGCCATAATTTGTTTTGTAACTTCCTTTTGTAACGTTCTTTTGTAATGTTCTCCTTTCACTGTTCTGATGCTGTATCTGTTCGCGTTTTTCTTTACCTCAATTATTATCTTCACTCCGTTTTCTGGGTCCGCTCCGTCCACTTTCTCCCTCTTAGGATAAACCAGGTTATCCAGGGACAGCACATTGTATATGATGGGGTTCAGAAAGTTGAGGTTCATGATGAGTGTGTATTCTTTGTGCTTTTCCTGCTTCTTCTTTATAACTTGGCGTAAAAAAGCTTCGTTGAAATGGTTCTGGGAATCTGTGAAAATTGACATTTTTCGAGGAGGGGAGAAGTTCATAGTGTGTGGATATGGATTTGTACATATTTACACGTAAGAGAAGTATCCACTCTACGACCCACATTGTGATTCGTAACGTAGGGAACTCTTTTTATATGTGTGGTCCTTCTCTTTCACTCTTAAAAGTTATGGTTGTTAGCCGCGCTGGGTAACTAATTTTTACCATACAAGGCGTCCAAATATATGAAACCATATTTATGACCGTACAATTTGCTGTAAATTTTTAGCAGTGTCGACTTTCCGCTGTGGGGTCTTCCGAACAGTAGAGACAGGGACTGATTATGCAGCTTCTCTTTCAGCACGTACACGTCCTTTTCGTACTTGTGGAAGAGGTGTTCTTTGAGATAAATATACTCCTGCTTTAGCAGCTGTGGGTCGAGTGATAAATGCATGTGGAAATATGGCTTATGTATATGTTATCACTATTAGGGGGGGCGCGGCATATCGGCATGTAGATGAACCCCCCCTTTGAGCCGCACGCTCCCCCTAAATATCAAAAGCTTTATGTAGTGAAGTCCCCATTTTTTATTACCTCCTTGAGTCGTTCCCGTCCCTCTTGCAAATCATATTTCACATTCAGGTCCACGTCTAGAAATTTTTTTATCAAATTGTGCAGCTCATTCTGCTTAATATCTTTTAACTTGTCATAGTAGTAGATAAAAATATATTTTGCTAGCAACTCGTCTGTTTTCCTTTCTTGATTTTCCTTCTTGCACAACGATATAATGTTGATGACGTCATTGAGCACATTATTTTCAGAACTGAAATAAATAAAATTCAAGTACTCCACCAAATTACAGATTTTTAAGCACAAGTTTTTCACGTTTTCGAAATTGTTGACGTAGAGGAGTATCTCCACGATTTCGATCTGTTGGCAATTGTTTAGGATAATTTCTCTGCACAAGCTCCTTAAATTGATGGGGAGGCTTCTGCACCTGTTTTTGGAAGAAGAGGGAATATACAAGTAGAAAAGGAATCTAATACGTATGTAGTAGGTGTGTGCAGGTTAAATCACAGAGCACCTACCCGCACGACTTTGACGTGAAGAATATCACGGAGCTGCTATTAAATATCACGTCTTTGCTGAAGAGGTAGATGTTCTTCTCCTTCTTTTTGAGGCCTTTCAATTTGGAGGGGAAAAACAGAGATGTGAAACTACGGCTCATAGGTATGTGTAAAAATGTGCATGTGTAAATACACAAGCGGACATTCTAGCCCCTCCAAAATTGGCTTGTTGATATAGGCAGAAGAAACTGTGCTGTACATGTTTGGATAGATCTGAACGCGTTTGTGAGGACGGACAATAGCTCCACTTTCATTTCGTCCACATTTTGGAAGACCAAAGCGTAGCCTAAAATAGGGTTAAAAGGAAGGGGTTCATTTGGTGGATGGGCGGAATTGCAAGTATAATGTATATCTACGGGAGGACCCCCCTGCGGTTAACCGTGCAATTACGAATATATAAGTATAAAAATATACTTTCTCATTTGTTTGTCATTTTGCTGCGTACCCATCTGAATAGAACCCAGTATGTAATTTCTTATGTTGTGTGTTTTCTCATCTAGGAAGTACGTTCTTTGTCCTGTGTGAACAGGGGGATGAAGTGAATCAAGGAGGACCACGCGTAGTAGTATCTGTACATTTGCGTGTGTAGGCCTAAATGAAACGAAACGGAAAGAGGAAGCTATGCGCACGACTTCCTCCTCTTGCTTACCTAGTGTAGATGTGATATACCGGATAGTGGAGGCTTTGTTGTTCCCGCACAAGATGTTGTAGTAGCTCTTATGCATATTGGAGCATATCGAAAACACGTACTTATTATTCGGCAGCATGTTTATGAATAGTCTATTATTTTCTAATATATCATAGTTGTATCTTAGGGGTGGCGTGGGTAATGAAAAAGAGAATACTTATTAATGTGAGGGGGGTAGCATAATTGGGGGGAGTACCGATTCCTCTTTATGAGAGCTCGTCAGAGGGATGCCTTAAAATTCCCCAGAGTTGGAACAACTCCCTTGATATCCCCTGATTTGCCTATCTCATTACTTAAAAGTGTAGTTGCCATATTTTACTGCGATCTGCTCCTTGTTCTTGTCAAAGCTGTATCTAAATTGGTAATGCAGGAAGAAATTGTTTTCATCAAATAAATTTTCTTGGATGATTTTTTTTAACGTGTCGATAAATTCCAAGTATATAATTAAGGCTTGCTCTATTTTCTGCGCGTTTCTTTCTTTTTCTTTTTTTATTTCCTCTGCTATGTCGTTGCACTGAGGGGTGAAGAGGAAGCAGGTGCTTATGTTTGTTCCCAGTGGAGTAGTGGAGGGCGTTTATTCTCAAATGTTACACACTCACTGTCGTATGCGCATCCTTGTCCATCTACTGTCCTACCAAATTTTTGTGCCTGTCCAGAACCCCCTGGGTGTATTCCACACTTTTCTGCTGAAGCACGTTTTTTATTTCTTCGCTCAGAATGATTTTTATGACGGTAATGGAAACGACAGACACGTTGTTCATGATTATCGGGATTATCCTGAAAGGGGGGTAAAAATCGATGCGGTTATTCTCCATTTTGTGGAGTGAGGCAGCAGTATAAAAGTAGACATTAACTAATTTGAAGGACAAAACGTGAGGGATAAACATCTGCGTAACATTTGTAATAAATGTGCAACACGTGGTATGCACAAAATGGCAATTTTCAAAAAGAGTGGAGGAACCGATGCGGCACATAAAAGGACTAAATACAATACATGGTTTCGCAATTAGCAATGGAGTAATGCTCTCCTGCGATGAATAGCAGAATGATGTGAATTTTCCAGTTTATGTTAATTGGCAAAATTATGCCCACGCGCAGTAATGTAGTACAGCATGTTTACATACTTGGTAGTGTTGTAGTAGCTTTTCAAACTCGATAAGATGTTTTCCTTCAAGGTGCTTTTGATTTTCTCTTTCAAAATGACGTATGTGTCTATCCCCATTATCTTCACCCCATTTTTTAAATTCAGCGTGTTATTTTTCGTAGTAACGACTTCGATGATCTGTGCAGCGGAAAAGAAGACAAACAAATAAATAAATAAATAGGCAAGTGGGTACGCGCATATTTCCATGCACATTCCCATGGGGACACATTTTCCAAAGCGCAGAGTGAGGGATAGACTAAGATGGCGTCCTCAGCGACTGTACCGTTTTGTCTATGTCATTAAAGGACAGAAGTTCTTCGTAAATTATGAAGCAGTATTTTTTCAAGTTCTCCGTCTCAGTGTCCGCTGCGGGGTTTGATTTTGAGTGGGTCATGTCTTGAACGTAAATAGGCATAGGTGTATGTACATAGGTACACAATGTTCAGCGCACGGTTTAGCGCAATCTTATCCGCGCACGCCTCTTTCTCCCTACACAGCAGGCAGAACAACTCCTCGTCGTTCAGGAAAAAAAAATCGGGAAAGGAAAATTTCTTCTCTTGCAATAAGCGTTTTGTCTCGTTTGACAAAAATAACACACGCTCGTAATAATTTTTCAAAAAATAAAAAAACTGAGTGTTAGAAACGTGGAATAAGTTGAGATTTTTCTTCGCATTTTTCATTATCTGAACGTATGTTTTATTTATTCTGTCGAAATCTTTCATTTCGTTACTGAAGTGATTGAAATTTTCATTGTTGTAAAATCGTTCCAGTCTAGCCCATTTGTCTTGGGTCTAACACGGAGGTGTTACGCAGGCAGGAACGTGATGACTACGAGGACATCACCATGTGGAATATGCAAACGTAGATATATTCCAATGTGCAGAGAGGACATGATAACACAAGTATGTTTAACGCCGCCATTTTTTCAAAGGCGAGTCGAATGCCCACCAGAATCCATAGGGACAAGAGCTCATGAATGAAAAGCAGCTTGTTCTGCAAATGAGTTATTTTTGGTATTAAATCTTGCGCGAAATTTAAGTTCCTCATTTGGTGCAAATCGTTAAATGTCTTTTTTATATTCTTAAATATGTTTTTGTTGCTGTCTAGTATGAAGTGGTCGCCACATTTTATAATTTTTAGTGTCTCCTGTTTCCATTTATTTTCAATTTTGTTCAGGTGTTTTTCCAGCTTCTCCACTTCCTGCAAAGTGGAGCGTGGAACAAGGCGAAAATGTGTGAACGTGAGGGAAGGGGCATACCGTATGTGCAAGTGAGTATTCGCCAACATGGTTTGTGTCGGTTCCACAGGTGTCCCTCACAGTGGCGCCAACGCAGCGGGGGCTATACAGCCGCACGCCCCTTTTTTTTTTTTTGGCGCGCCTGTCAGAGGCTTCCCTGTTCCTTGCACGCACCTTAATTTTGTATATAATGTACTTGATGTCGTTAAAGTAGAGGTATATTTTCAGCTCGTACATATCGTACAGCGTGATCGACTTGATGTTAATATTTTTGTCGTTAATGATGATGGTGTTTTCAAAGGTGACTGGGTCCTTTATGTTGTTTCTCTTCAAGTGGAGGTCTATTATTTCTTGCCAATTGGTCAGTTTCATGTTTGTGTTTTGTAGAAGATACACGATTATCAGCGTTGTGTTCATTTTGTTTAGTTCTTCATTTATTTTTTTGAATGGCTAAGAGGGGAGAAGTGGAAAAAGACATCGTTGTGGAAAAAAGAAGAAAAAAAAAGGGGCAGCATTTTAGAGAGGGGAAAAGAAAGAGTAGGGGAAACGTTCGATGTTGTCAGCAGAGAGCAATGGCCTGGTGAGACAGGCACAAATAAGGTGATGGATAAGTGTACCAAAATGTTCTTCGCCTCCGGTTGATCCTTTTGCAGTTCTGTCAACTCGCTTTTCACCTCCTTTAAGGATTTATTTATTTCCTGAAGAGTTGACAAGAGAGTTAGGTGTGTACACGAATATTTATGCACATGTGGGATTAGCCGTAGACTTCTTCTTCACCCCAACTTGGTGCAACTCCTCATTTTACGCACCTTAATATTTAGCTTGTAGTATATAACATCGAGGAAGTCATTTATCCTAGTAGTATATGAATTGTAGATGGAGTAAATGGAGTTGTATATCTTTATGGTGTTCTTTAAGAGGTAGAAGTTTTCGAATTGGAAAATTTTCATGTTGCACAGAATTTGGGCTTTAATTATTTCCTCCTTCTCAATTTCCATTGTTTTGAAGTCGCTGATGTATTTTTTTAGGCTTTCCATTCCTTGGGTGATGAGAGGGGAGAACATGCGTATGGGGGTGTGTAGATGGGCTCCTCTAGGGGCATTCCGTTAGAACGGACGCGATGGAGGGGATGTTTTACAAAATGAAGGAGCGACTCTGCCCTCCGCGCTCTTGAAGTTACCTTCGCTTAAGTCGATATTTTCCGAGGACGGGCCGAACATATGAAACTTTTTCAGAATACTTTTCACCTTTTCTTCGAACACGGTTATCTAAATTGTAAGAGGTGCGGAGGAGGTATAAGCGGTAAAAGTTCACACACATGAGGGAAGACACATGTATTCATATAGATAATCAGTTTGGGTATCTTGCCAAAGTACTCGATGCTCTCGCCCAATTTACCTTATTCTTGGTGTTTTTGTAAAACTCCTGCTTTATGGTAAACATCAGGTTGTCGTTGAAGAAAGCAGAGTTGAGCATACTTAGGTACTGGGGGTACAGCAGAAGCAACTTCTGCTTTTGTTCCTCCTTTGTTGTGTTGTCACCGTATATGGTAAGCATGTTGTAAATTTCCTCTGTCTTTTGAATATTCATTTCGATGTTTATATTTTCAGCCTTAATCGTGTTTATCGTTTTTATGATATTCTCGTACTTGTCCATAGAGCTAGTGCATGTCTCCAATATGCCGCTGCGGGGTTGTGTGGCATTTTAAGAAGGCGTCATAAAAAAAGGTGTATATGTGGGGGGAAGGACTAACACTACCAGGAGCGGGGGGACGGCTTCATCATGCGTCGCCTTTCGGATCACCTCCCTGAGAGGAGAATGCAGGGGTACACCCGACGCACACATGGAGGCTCTCAATCACTACCTGTATTTCGTAATTTCGCTGAGCGTGGAGCACTTCAGCGTGGTGAATATAAAATGGAGGTTGTTAAAAAAGAACTTCTTCGAGTCGAGCAGTTTGTTCTTTATCGAGTTAAGGACGAAAGAAATGTTTAGCGAGATAAATTGGATTGTCTTTTTGTCGTTTTCTCTGTCAATCTTGTTTTGAATTATGGTAATATTTTTTAGGATATTATCATAGTAAATGAGAGGGTAGGAGATATTTTGGTGAATATTAAAGCTGCTTTGTGTCCTAACAATGGAGTTAATAATATTATCGTACTTCATAAAGCTGTATATGTATTTGTTGGCCTTTTGGAAAACGTTTTGTATTAACTGATGTATGTGTATGATCCGGTCGATGATAATTTTATTTTTGCTAACGCTTTGGTAGAAAGAGAATTTCATTTTGAGGAACTCGAAGTCTTCCTTGAGCGATATGGGCACTTCAATGCATGAGTAGTCGAGCCATCTGATAAACTCGGAAGAGGTTAGAAGCAGATTGGTTAACAATTTAGAGATCAACTTGAAGATATTTTGAATGGAGTTGTTCAGAAAAACATCCGAATAAATGTCTTCCTTGATGTAGAGACAAGGCTTATAGTTGTCTAGGAACTTTTTCTGGAAATCATTTTCAATTAGCGTTTCATAATTGCATAACCCTTTAATAATAATAAGACTTAGGCACTTGTAAATTTTGCATTGGTATAGGTAGTACAGCTCGTCCATGATTTCACATCTTCCCTTTTTGGTTTTCTCAACTATCTGTTCTATTTTAATTAAAATTTGTGATATTTCTTTGTATTTTTGTAAAATTTTTTCGACTTGATTTATTCTATATTCTTCAAAATAATTGAAGAAGGGTTGGATGTGCAAGGGTTTCATGTTTCCCCAGTCTATGTACCTAACCAGGTTCACATTTTGCATGTTGTAAATAATTTTGTCTATGCTGCTGAGCGAGTAGGAGAGAGACACGTGGACATTTTCGATTACACTTTTGCAGTTTTTTAAATCGTTTATGTAGTGGTCTATATTTAAGTTTAGCCAATTGATGTTGTTCGATATATATATGAGTTTCTGTTCGAAGCACTGAAAAAATTTTATGAGGACTTTCTGCTGAATGGTGGAAGTGGTGGTAGTAAAATTTTTGAAGAAAAAAATTATTTCGTTCAGCTCGTACAAATACCTGTACAGCTTTCTCTTTAAGTTGTACATGTTCAAAATTTCGATCGGTGTGTAAAAATCGTACATCGATTCAATATAGGCGTATTCGTATAAGGTCTTAAAGAAGGTCCTATCAAAATTGATGACGTAAAAAAAGTTCAGCTGCTTGTTTATGGTAATTATGTTGGAAGAGAGAAACTTGTTCATTTGAGAGAGTGAATTGTTCTTCCATATGACGTACGTCTCGATGATATAGGAAAACATTTTTTTGCAAAAGTTGACGTACAGTTTAACAATAATTTTGTACTCATTAGAGGTAGTAATATAGGTATTATTTTTGAATATTAAAATTGGCATCTTTATCTTTTTGTAGATGTTTAAACAGAAGAGGAACTTTTTGTAAATGTCCAGATCTTTGTTTGCGCACATGTTATTAAACAGGTCGATGTACAAGTAGAGTTCCTTTTTGTATAGAAATAATATGTCGTACAGCTTCTTAATGAGGAGTCTATCTATTTTGTAACTCTTCTTCAAGTTTTGAAACTTCTCCACTAAGAGGTACGTCGATTTTGTGTTCCGCAGGTTGGAAAATTGGAGATTAATAATTTTGATGCATTTTTTTTCTATCTTCAAGCATTGCTCATTCAGCCTTTTCATCAGTTGCATAATTGACTCGTCATCGTACTGGTAGATATTCTTAAGTACATCGTTAAACGGTTCGTACAGCTTGTTGATTTCTAAGATGATGCTGTTCATAATGTGCTTGTTATTCACCAACTTTTTCAACTTTAGAAGACACAAATCGGTGAAGTATATAATTTCTGAGTAAACGGTGTATAGCGTAGCCAAGACATGTTGGAGGTGCCGTATATTTTTGAAGATAACATTCTTGTCAAAGTACCAATTTTTTCGAATATCGATAATTTCGATGTCTAATTTGACGTAAATGAATTCCTTTTCGTAGAACTTTAAAATGTCTATACACTTGGAAATGACCTTTTTTATTCTCTTTGGTTTGTTCATTTTTTTCACCTTGATGGCTAGGAAAAGGATGAATTCGAATATAATGTCGGAGAGTCTGACAAAGAAGGCAATTATAATTTCATCTTTTCGGAAATATTTTGAACTTAGCCATATATTTTTTAACTTTCGAATGACCAGTTTGATGCCATTTTTCATTTGGTTGATATGATTACATTTTAAAGTTTCAAAAGAATTTTCCAAAATTTTACTAAATTTGATCATTTCAAACGATTCCATGTGAATATTTTCCACTTCCTTGATTAGCAATTTTATTTCGTTGCACAATTCTCCGTTGTAGTTTTTTCCCTTAATATTTTCTATAATTTGTTCGAATTTTTTGCTGTTAATTTTTTCAATTAAGCTGTAGATTCTGTGGTATCTTTCTTTCCAGTACTCCACTGCCGTCTTGTCGTTTTTTCGCTTCGAATCGTTTTTCTTTTCTTTGATGATAAAATCTTTTATTATGTTGGAAATGTTTCTCAGGTAATTGTTAATGTTAATCGTGTCATCCTTAAGTTTGATTATGTCTGCATTGATTTCGTTGTACGAGATTTGTTCCACCTTCAAAATCTGTTTGTAATAGCTTAGAAGGTAGTAGAAGGAGTTCAGCAGGTTTTTATTTTTGAGGAAATTTTTCTCTTTCTTTGTCACACCACGGTGGATTCCATTCCTTCGGATTTTATCCTCAGTTGGAAGGTAACTTCGGTTGGCACTTTTACTTTTTGTTACCCCATTCACAGCCTTGTCCTCTATCCCGAATTCGTTCATCTGCTCTGTGTGTTTCCCTCTCTCCATGATATTCAAATATTTATTTTCGTTCAATTCGTTTGTGTCATCTAGTTGGCTGGTCAGCATTTCCGTTTTTCTAAGGTGCTGTAGTTTGCTTAGGATTTGGTCAATCTTTACGCTTTGGTTTGTCTCCTTCCCGATGTACTCGAACACGTCGTTTTTCTTTAGTAAACATTGAAAGAAGGGGATAAAAAAGATTTTAAAGTAAGCCTTCAAATTGTTAATATAATTGTGGTGTAAATTTCCGAACGTGTAATTGGTGTTGAAATATTCGTCCAGGTTTTCGTGCCTTTGATCATTTGGGGCACTTTTAATTTTTAAGAAGTACACTATCTGCTTGGTTGCCTCCTTCTTCTTTTTCTGTTTCTCCTCTGCTGTATTGGAGAGGACGTTGGATGCTTCTGATGCTGTTTCTTTTTCCACGTCGTCCGCTTCTATATGGCCAAAACTCATTTTTAAGGTGTAACGTGTTTTCGTTTTCTTCTCTTTCTCATTTTTATTTTCTTCGGAGGGAGGGTTCCCCTTTGGGGACGCCTCCTCCTTTTTATCCTCCTTATTCGCTCCATGTGTGGAATTATCAATAGGCTTGTTGGCATTCTCGGTGTGTTTCTCGGTTATGTTTGTCTCTAGATTTGCCTCCACTTTATTATTTTTCGCTTCTTCTGATGGGTATGGAATTTCCGATTTATAGTCTCCTTTTATGCCATTTGTCTCGCTTTTTGGCGCCTTCTCCCGTTCATCATTTGCTATTTGAGTGCTTCCGCGGTTAGCATCCTTTCGCTTTTCTGCCCGTTCGATGTTTCCCCCCTCTTCGCTTTTGTCTTTCACTGCATTGTCAGTTTCATCAACATGGTTGTGACTGATTATTTTCTCCTTTGGTTCTTCTGCTTTATTCTTTCCCGCGTGCTGTGTATCCCCACTATGATTTTCTGTGTCATGTTCTTTGTCATTTCGTAAGGGTTGTATCACTTCGTTCGGTGTGTCCGGTTCCTTCGGTTCGTCCGGGTTGCTCAGTTCGTCCGTCTCATCCTCTTAAAAAGTGTATGGATAAGGAAAGGGAAAAATTATTAACTAATGCCCCTTTGGGGAAAATAGAAAGTGGCTAAACTTCTTCCCCTTTTCTGAATGCTTACCGTACGTGTACTTATGTACCACGAAAAACAAAGTGCTCTTCACAGGTGCCGATAGAAAGAAGTAATTTAAATCGTTTTTATTCTTTCCCTAATAAGTTGAGAAGGGTTAGCAATGGGGGTGTTTCTCCCATCGATGTGGTTGAGAAGTGCTGCAAAAAATGGGAACAAATTTTAACAAGCGTTGTGTTAAGCTAAATTAAGCTAAACTAACTTCCTGTATGAGAGAGTCAAAAACGTTGCTTCCAATCCTCAACAACGAAGTGATCTTTTGCTTTATGTAGCATTCCAGTTCATCATTCATGTTTCGGATCCTGGAATGGTTGAGCGTATGTCTTTGAGCAGGACGAAAGAGTGAATCGAAGCGCGCGAAAGCATATGCACAAAATTCATGTATCGATGTCTAGATTATGAGAATGAAAAAAGTGTGTTTGTCTTTATGTTTTTGTGTGTATTTGCAGGTTGGGTGTTCTTTTTTGATATTGCGAAAAGTGAGAAATTTTTTATAGACGCGAAATGGGTCCTATAATATAGGTCCCGTCCCATTGTGAATTGAGCGTTTTGCGCGTTTATGTTTTTTCTTAATTTATGCAAATGGGGAGGGGAATTGATGGGAAACTGTACCTTGGGAAGGCTAGCTTCCTTTCTGTCTCGATGGAGACTTCTCTATGCAAAAATGTACACAAGAAAATATTTGTACTTATTAGAATGTCGAAAAAAAAAAAAAATATACTGTGTGCAGTGCGCTTTGTCTAGCGATTTTTTCCCCCCTAATTAATACGAGTGATTTTAAGAATTTACACATTTCTCAAGAAACCTGGGATTATAAAAATGTTTCCTCTGGGAATTAATTTGTGAAGCCATATGATAGTACCAACATTTTTTTGATTTACGTATCTTTTTATGTGCCTCCTACCTTAAAACTTTTTTTATACGTTTCGCTTTAGGATTTCCTCTAACAGTGGAAAGCACACCAGGAGTTTCATTAAAATGTGCTAGCCTTTTATTCTATGCACAATTAAAGATAGAACAAATGGAAACTTTTTTAAGAATTAAAAATGAAGAGGCAAAAGAGGTTTAGCAAACGGTAAAACGATTTGAATTCCCCAAGTGTCAGTCATATTTCTTTGCCCATTTATTGCATTGTTGAAAATTTCAAAGTTCATCTTGCCGTAAAATGGAGGAGCGTTTTGCGGTTCTCTTGTAGGCACTTCCACTTTTGATGTGCATAATTAGAGAAGAGTTGCACACATTAAAGATGTGTGAATGGGAAAGTTATTTAAACGATTGGAATTATTCGAACAGCGAATGCAGCAGAATGAGACAAATGTACTGAGTAAGTAAAAAAGAAAAAAAAAGATTTTCTGGACAATTGGAAAGCAACGGGGGTAACTCTTTAGACATTCTGCAAAGCATCTACAGAATGGAACTGCCTTAAAAATGAGCCATGAATTGTAAAAAGAAAAAAAACGGTCAAGTAAATAATGTGGATAAAATATATGAACAATTGATGGGGGGTACATGCGGTAAAAATGGGGTGAACACCGGAATGGTAAAGAAATGAGAGACCTTTCGGTAGAGATGATTTACGCAAATTGGCAGGATTAACTCGATGACAAACTGTTCCAATTAAGGTAGTGAATTGAGACTAAAAGGGTGAACTATAATATGACCAACTACAATAATGAGAAAAAACGGCGAATTGTTTGGAAAACTCTGTCATCGAATTATAACCGACGCATGCCTTTTAAGAAGGACGCAGGAATGGTAGCAAACTTTTATAATCTTTACACCTGACATTGACGATTTGCTTCTGGGAATGTCCCCTTTCTGCTGCCCCTTTGAAGAAAAAGGAAAAAATTAATTACCTACGTAAAAATGCATATATGGATTAAGCGGTTGGTAATATCTTTTGCGATAAAATTTGGTTACTTTCAAAGAAGAAAATGCTAACACATGTGGTGAACGGGAAAACAAGAGTCGGGGGAGCACACGAGAAATAAGTAAAAAAAGCGATGAGAGTAGGGGAAAAAAATATGCCAAAAAATAAAATAGTAAGAAAGTACTATGGGAATGAATGAAGGAAAATAAAATTGGAAAAATGCGGAAAAAACGAACTGCATATCCCGAAATGTATAGTTGAAAAAAAAAAAAAAACATATGTAAAAGTTTGAATCGCTAACCAAAGGTACACAAAAAAAGTACATACAAATTTGGCTTAAAAAAAAAAAAAAACTCTCAAAAAGTGTCATAATTTTTTAGAAAAGGAAATTTAAACGTCAAAGCAGAATGTATTGAGATGTTTTAACTTTGGAGAGGATCACAAATTCGTGTAATGTCCCATTTCGTGTTCGTAAAAATTATTCTTCGTTTGAGAATATTACAACAGAGAGATGATGCATACATGAGCAAATGCGCAAGTGCGTACATATAAACATTTGCCCTTTTTGACGAAATAACCTCTGGGAAGAACGAGTGCGAGCATACCCCCCCGTAAAAGCGGTTTCCCCATTTTGTACCGCCGAAGGATAATTAATTTGTAAGGGAAGTACGTTGCTTCTTCTGCATTTATAATTTCACCCCCTCCCTGTTAACAGTTGCGGAATAATGACGGAAACGGATAAGTGGGACTCCCGAGTCAGTAGCCCAGTAACCAGAATAAAACATATACATGAACATAATTTGACGTACTACAGCAAGTGTATGTTCGGGGGGGTCCTGTCTTGTGGATTAACACATACGGTAATAACACCGTTGGATGTTACAAAATGTAGAATCCAGTCGTATCCTCAAATATATAAAAACCTCTTCCAAAGTTTATATAAAATAATCAAGGAGGAAAAGGTAAGAAGCTTATCATTAGGATGGTCTCCAACATTAATAGGTTACTCCCTTCAAGGGTTATGCAAATTTGGCTTTTATGAAATTTTTAAGGACGTTTATTCAAATTATTTAGGAGAGGAATATTCCTATAAGTACAAAGGTGTAACATGGCTACTCGCATCTGCATCAGCCGAATTTGTCGCGGATGTTTTCCTATGCCCATTCGAAATGATTAAAGTGAAAATGCAAACGAGTAAGGCAAATACATTTCCGACGAAACTGTCCGAATCTGTATCCTTCATGGTAGCAAATAAGAAAGAAACCAAGTTTCCCTTTGGTAGTGTTACACCCTTGTGGTGTCGTCAGATACCTTATACCATGGCAAAATTCTATTTCTTTGAAAAAATAGTGCAGTTAATGTATGACCAAGTTTTTACCAACCCGAAGGATTCCTATTCCAAGTCTACTCAATTGGGCATCACTTTCGCATCTGGTTATTTGTCGGGAATTATTTGCGCCCTGGTTTCGCACCCAGCAGACAATATGATATCTCAATTAGGCAAAGTAGAAAATAAGGGCAGAACGTTGTCAGCCATAACAAAAGAAGTGGGTATGGTAAATTTATTTACCAAAGGATTATGTACGAGAGTTTTAATGATAGGAACATTGACCGGTTTGCAGTGGTGGATTTATGACACCTTCAAGGCCGTTATGGGTTTGGGTACCTCGGGAAGTGGCTCATCTGGGAAGAAATAATTCCTGTGGGGAGAAGAATCGCACGATTTTTACAACCTTCAGTGAACAAAGAAGATTAGAAGCACAAAACGGGAAAGAATAAGAAGGGAAAAACCTATGCCCACGTTTAAGCATATTTAAAAGGCCGCCAATCAAGAGGAGGCCTCCTTACGAGGAAGGTCAATATCGTATAAACATATCAGAAAAAATTCATAAAATCGCCTCCCCATTTTGTTGTTTGTTTTATTTTTGTTTTGCAAACCTTGTGGAAGTGCGATTGGAGGTACATGCACTAAAATGTATACCCACGTTAGCCCCCCCCCAAAAAAAAGATGTACATCTATGGTACATATTTTTGAAGTTTCTTTATTGTTCTCTGTCTGTTTCGTGTTTTTGTGTCAAAAAAAAAAAAAAAAAAATTCAACGCTCGAAGCAGTAGCAACAATAATAATGGTAAAAAAAATTAATCATATCGATAATAATCGGAAAATTGTGTACAGTCCCTTTGACCAGCCAATAGAAAACGAAAAAAGACGAAAACATATGATACAGATGAAGAAACCACTTAACTCGTCGCTCGCCAGAAAGATTCATATAAAAATACAAATTAGCGCGTATACAGATATTAGGTGTTGTGTATGAATTAAGATGTGGATACACATATAAAGCAAATATGATGCGAAGTGACATCATAGGGCTAATACGGATAATTTACAAAATTTCAAGTCAATGCGAAAAAGGAATAAAAAAAAAATAAGAAAAATATGGCAAAAATAGGACGAAAAAAAAAAAATATATATATATATCTATGTATATATCAAGTGGTGTTCTCTTCAGATCTGCCCATTTTCGTGTTTTCCCTTCTACTCTTACGTTAAAAAAGGAAGGTTTTTTCTGATTAGCATTTAACACTTATGGGTGATGAAAAATGAACAGGGGTGCAACAAGAGTTAGAACAAAGGATTTGTATTGTGTCAATAATGATAGCAGTGGCAATTGTCATTATTCTACTATTACAATTATTTGCTCTTTTAAAAATACCTTCGATGGGGAACTATGTTTTAATTTTTTTTTTCTTATTCTTTTTCTTTCTTTCTTCTTTTCTTTTTGGAGCGCCCCTATCCGCTATCGCCGATTCTTCTTCATTGCTCGGGGACTCCTCTTCTTCTTCCTTTTCTTCTTTCTCTTTCTCCTTAAAATCGCCTTTGTTGTTTTCTTCCGACTATATTTCTTTCTTTACCCTAATTCTAATGGTCACTCCCTCTGCCTTTATTCTGGGGAAATTTTTTTCTTCGCTTTTTTCTTCCGTTTTTTGCACAGCTAATTCTTCAATATTCGTTTTGAGTTTTCCTTCGGTTGCTCGTTCAGAAGAATTGTCATCCTCTCCAGAAAATACAAAATATGGGATTCTTTTTGAGGAGCCCCTGATGTCTATCCATTCGAAGTAGCCGTTAACCACAAGGGCAAATGGATTCTTATTGAATAGCACGCTGTGGGGTGTAGGAAAAAAGCGGCGACGTTGGTTATGGCTCGGGAAGGTGCTCAATGCGTGGCGGCAGGAACGCACACATTTACACATATATGCATATACACATGTGTGCATATATTCATTTATCTTTTTGACGGGCTTCACATGTGCGGACGTAGAGATTGGCCACTCGGGATGGAAACCGACCTGGACGACTTCTTCGATTGCAGGATCTCCACTCTCGGGTTAATCAAAAGAAGTTCCTTGTCGAATTTTCCGTAGTTGTATGTCTTTAGTCCCCATAGGCAGTCTTGAATTTGATTTTCTGTGAGGCTTGGTTTCCCTTTCCATTTTCAGCGCTCTCATAGATAATGGGCATGTAATTTTTCTTAAAAATATTTTTAAGTTTGCGCGAAACACCACACGTTACTTTATGTGACATTGCGTGCAGTGCATTCGATGAAGTTATAGAAAATGGTTGAATGTTTAATTATGCGCCGTGCATAAGGATATACGTGTACGCGTATGCACGTTTTATATGTACTACATATACAACTCATTGAGTGTTTTTTTTTTTTTTTCTCTTTTTACTTATCATTCGTCTCCTTAATTTTTCATTGTTCAGAATTTTGTTGCAGTTGTATTCCCTTTTCAAAGCGTTTATGCCGATATTGTAGTATACTCGTACACACATCTTCGCCTTATATTTTTGTGTGCTCAACTGTGGGAAAAAGTTCGCGAAAAAAAGGATTAAACGAAAACGTTTTTTTCTGTACTTTCGCCATTTTGTGAAAATATGTAACAGGGAACAGGATGAAATAAAGTAGGAATGTTGCTTTTGCAGTTGTTTTGCTTTGTAGAGGTCGCGTTTGTGAATACTTTTTTTTTTTTTTTTTGGTTTTTTTTTTTTTTTTAGTATCATCTTTGTGAAGGGGGAGAAAATATAATTTAATTAAAACCCAAACAATTTAATTTTGACAAGAATAAAGAAGGAATAAAAAAAAAAAAAAAAAAATCATGTATAAAATTAAAACCAAGGAAAATCAAACAATCTTGGGATTTCTGAAGCCACTAAAGTAAATTGAAGAAAAGAAGAAAAAAGGGGAGGTCTTCTGGTTATCGTTTTTTTGGTCAACCTCCATGATGTAGAAAAATATCGATTTAAGAAACGTCCCTTTTGCTTAACTTGGACTTTCATATATAACGTAAGAAGGAAAAAAAAGTAAATCTACCCATGTGCATGTGTATGTAATATACGTACACGTTGATGTCAGCACCATATAGGTATACCTATATGTGCCTATGGGTGAATCAGCTTGTACATGTGCGCACATAGGTATCTCTACATGGGTTCACGGGGTTATGCACACCTGGCTTTATATCTACCTGTACGCATATGCCTATGTTCTGAATATGTAAGCAACTATATGGGCACGAGTATCCGTGCAGACACCAACATGTACATATGAGCACAAATGAATAACTGCATGAATACATGTGAATATGTAAATGGTAACACGCGCATGTGTGCATGAGGCATATATAAATTACGACACGTATATACGTGTATACGCACTTGGGAAAATGACATCATGTCCGTGGAGGCACGCAGGCACGTATCACTATATTTAGAAGTGCTTGAAAGCATGTGGAGGAAATGCAAATTGCGTGACACCACCCTTTTTTAATGCTGTTTTTTCCACTAATTTTGACCCATTCTGTGAACTGAACACATAAGAAAAAAAAAATAAATAACAAGTGCGAAAAAGTTTTCCTTTCCGGTTGCATTTTGAACGAGCAAAGGACAGGAGAAAAAGTCTCCATGGGCTTTCCTTTTTTTGGTAAGCTGAGATATATATGAAACGTTTTCATTTGACAGTTTTAGAGGAATCGCATGAGAGGGGAGAGCAGATGGAAAAAATGCCCAGCAAAGCGGCATGAATCGAGAAAGGTATATTCGCAAAAGATCGGGAAGAAGAACAAGAGTAAGCTGAACATGCGAAGTAGAATATGCCACAAAAGTTTATGGAGAAAATGCTTTAATTTTAGAGAGTCTTCCCGCCCTAAAAGAGATTCGAGATGACCAAAAAATGGTGTCGCATTTATGTGCAGCAACAATAACCCATTGTCGTGTTTTTAACTCGATTAAAAAAAAATGTTGCATAAAAGTGATATTCCCCGAGCGGCCCTTAATCAAATTTCGATCAAAAGATCCATTTCTACAACAATAAAATTGGTTAACTATAATTACTATTTTTTACTTCGAAAAAATGAAAAAGGGGCCTACAGATTTTTTCATCATAAGAATAATTTAAGCAGCCATTTCTTTGAAGGCAAAAAAGAACATGGAGGAAGCAAAAGTAGCATTTCGTATAACAACAAAATGTTTCAGAAGTTGTATGAAGAAAATCCTTCAGAGGGTTGTGCCGGTGAGGAAAATTTTCCAAATGTAGGAAAAACTGATAATCGGAAATGGGAAGAAGGGACCCGACATGAGAATCTCACAAATGAAGATAGCCCGCAAAGTGGACAGAACAAAATTTTAAACAGACATGAATACATCGATCTGAATTTGCTAAATATCGATGAAGAAATTGTAAATAACTTAAAGGAGATCCTCAAAATAGATAAGCTCTACATGTATCAGTACATAATTTTTAACGAAATTTTTGCAAATCATTGCAGACATGTACTTGTCTACAACAAGACAGGAACGGGGAAAACGCTCAGCTACTTGTTACCGTTAATACAGAAATTGATAAATGAAAAATTCGATTGTAATAGGAAGATATTAATTTTGACGCAGAATATTTATCTCTGCAAACAGTTATATATTTACATTTTATCCATTTACCCCAATTTAAATGTGTGCATTTTGTTCGATGAACATGATCCCTGCCATCGTGTGAAAAAAATAAAGCGAGACGTAATTGGAAAGGAAGAATTCGCTCACAAACTGAATGAAAAGAATAATGATTTGTATAGGGAAAACTATGGCATCCATTTTTACCTAGCCATCCCGAATAAATTAGAGTTTTACATAAAGAATTATAATAATACGAAAAAAAATGAAAAGAACGTCATGAACAATATTTTAAATTGTGTAAACACCATCGTTGTAGATGAGTTTGATTATGTAGTCGAAAGTAGAAACTTGATTTTTAACTTCTTATTTAAAAGGGACTTATTGAACGGGGTGGATGAGCAGGGGACGCTGAAAAGGAACGATACTAATGGGGAAAATTTTAATCGTGAAAATTATGAAATATATTTGTTCACTGCAAATATGAATGAACTAATAAGGAAAAAAATTAACAACCATTTATGCGGTTTTGTTTTTTTTGACTTTATTAATGGGGTTAAAGAAGTGATTCAAAATAAATTGGATGAAGAAAGAGCGAGTGTGTTGAAAAATTCGCAAGAAATAATTCAGTTGCTGAGCAGAGAGAACAAAACGCCCAGCCTGTGCAATTTGAACATCGCCCACTTTATATGTAAAATAAATACCCCCTCGAAGTATAAGTATGTATCCTATTTTTTAAATGAGTTTTTTTTTTTAAAGAGAAAGGATATGTTAAGGAGAAGAAGGACTCACCAATTGTCCGACAGAAATGACGAGTGCGATGGTGACAAGTTGATCAGGGATTATATGGGGAGAAACCCCCCCGAGGAGAGGGAAAAGGAGGATAAAATAAGGAAGTGCATAATTTTTGCAAATTCAAAGGAAGAGGTGAGTCTGCGTAAAGTGGAACGATAGCGTCGACTCTGCTGTTTCATAAGCGTTCAGGCATCTGCCATTTGGCGTGCGCGTTATGCGGTCTAGGTTGTGTATTTTTCCTTACCGCATATGCACACCATTGCTTCCCCCGTGCTTGCCAAACTTTTCTAACGAAGGAGCGAAATTCATTTCATTTTCATAACCCCCTTGGAAGGTCGAGAAACTGCACGAGAACTCCCTCCTGAAGCCACACTCCGTTATTATGCACTCGGAACTGCTAACGCTGCAGAAAAACGAAAATATAAACATGTTTAAATTAGGGAAAAAGCCCATCCTCATCACGACGGATATAGTGAGCAGGGGACTCGACATAGACAACGTTATCTTCATTTTGAATTACTCGCCCCCCACGTCCCCAAATGATTACATACATAGGTGAGACGCGGAGATTTGCACATTGACACAGCGCAAGAGAGAGATCTCCCTCCCGTTCGTTTGTTAACATTTATTGCGGAATTAATTCCCCACTTTTGCAGATCGGGTCGAACCGGAAGAGCGAAAGAAAAGGGAGTCTGCCTAACGATGTACCATAAATATGAATATAAGAATCTGGACAAGATAATGAAGTATACCAAAAATAATTTTCAAGTTATTTTATGCCCCCATGTAGATGAAGTCTACAAATTTTCAGTGGACAATTTGACAGGTACACTGGGGCGAAGACGAGCGATGCGTGGAAGATTATCAGATGGAGAAATTTTCCTAAATAGAGATGCTCAATTATGTTGACGTGACGAATTGTATTATGCATATGCTAAAAATGTTGAGGCGTACATGTGCCTTTCCCCCTTCCGCTTTCTCCCCTTTAGAGAGCATAATGAAGATCGCCCCGGAGGAATACGAATTTCTTCATGATAGATCAAAGGAGCTACTAAAAACGGATGGTACAAAAATCATCGCGCAGGTACTCTCCGTTTTGCTAAAACATGACAGGAAGGGATACACTGTTTCTCTGCTATCTGGGAAGAGAAACTATGTCGCTGTTTTGATAAAGGATCCCTTTTTTGAGGTAAAAAGTTGCAAAAGTGGAAGAGCGTCAGAATCGCTCATTATGCGTCCCAAATGGGGAGTAACGTGTTAATGCGTATGTCCATATGTATAGGTGCACATGTTTAAACTCCCTTAAACAGGGAAACCGTTTTGAAACTCCCCGATCTGATTTACCCTTCTGAGCAGGCAATAAAAAATAAGAACGATATTGTTAACTTGATGAAAGTCACCACGGGGAACAGAAATGTGTCAAATGTAAGGACGCAGAAATGGAAAAAGATAAGAAAAAAAAAAAAAAAGAAATATCAGGAAAAGATCATTTTTGGCTTAATTCCCCCTTTTAGGTTGTCGGAGATGTGGCCAAATGTGATGAGGGCTACATTGCAGACATTTCTAGCACGCACGTTAATAAAATTATAAGCTTGTTCAATAGCTCCAACTCGGAATATAAGAACAAGGGTGTACAAATTGACACTGTAATAGAATTGCCTCCAGTGATTCGCGAAAAAAAAACCATCATACGAAGAAACAGAAAAGTCCCATGGATAAAATAGTATGCATTTATAATTACATAAAAAATATTTAGCCATTTGTGATTCCATTTCATGTATAAATTAGCTAAACCTTCTGAGAGGGTGGCCATGAGTTCACATTTTGCACATTCTTCCGTTGTTGTTTGGAAGGGCATATGCACATGAATGAATAAGCGTTTGTGTACATGGGTCTGCCATGCAGAAAGAGCGTGACATTTTTGCTGTCACACATTTGCAGCTATACAAGTTGATGAAATCGAAAATGTGTTTTTTTTCTGTTTATACATTTAAATAATATCTAAGTATATGGCTGATTTGTTGTACGTAATTTTTTTTTTTTTTTTTTCTTAAAAAAAATGCGAATGTTCGTCAGGCAATTTTTCTCCCTACATCCCTACAAATATACCGCCCTATTTTATGCGAATTTTTACATATGCGTCTATTCTGCGCATCGCAGTTCACGTGGCGTTTAGGTTAATGAACATCGTTCTGACTCAATTCTGCATGCCTACTTTTTCCCTTACAGCAAATTACAGAAAAAGAAAATTATAGTGTTAGGAAGAAAAACGAGCGAGTATAAAAGGAAGGGAAGCACTGAAATTATAAAAGATATAAATAGGCAAATCTAGCCCCCCTTCATTGGACGTAAAATGGGATTACATAAAGCGGATGAGGTAAAATAATTTTTTTTTTGCGTTTTCCGTGAACGTGCATAATTTTTTTAGCAGTTATTCGTCGCCCTTTTCATCTGCGTCAATTCGCAATTGCATAAGAGATGCGATTGCGCGGTTTCGCATTTACGCCGTTACGGCCGTACGCGATTTTTAATCTTTACAAGCTAAGGACATATAGCTTGGGCACATATTGTTCGTTGCACAATTTAAATTTTAACAATATGTAAACCTTTATTTGTTACCTCAATTTTGTAAATTTACGTTTAGTGCACAGAGATATGATTTTTTAGTTCCCCCTTTCCAAGGTTCATATCTTTTTCTTCCATGTTAAGAAGAATTTGATGTGCGTAGGTGAACCTCGAGGGTCAAACGTGCATTGTGCATTCCGATGAGGAATAAACCTTTTGTATTTTAATTAACATTACACATATATGTATAAATGTGCGCACATGTACACATACATATTTGAGATTACCCATTTCTTCAGCAAACAGTCTTATGGATTCAGTTTGTCACTCTTCCTCATCCACTTTGTTCGATTGCACACATATATCAGATAACACTGTGAACTTTTAAAGCGAAGAAGGGAAAACCATTTTATCTCTATGTGATGTGTTTAAAAAAAATTAGCCATGAATAGAAAAAGTTAAAAGGCATTTAATGGACACGTGGGTCCTTCAATGCTTAGTAAAATGCCATAAGGGGAAACAAAAAAAAAAATTGAAAAAATAAGTTACCTTTAAGGGCGAGATAGGGGAAGCATTCAATTGTTTATATATGCTCGGTGAAATAATGAAAAGTAGCCCATCATCCAAGGCATCAATGGTAATGAACATTAAATAAAAAAACAGAAAATGTTCACGTTGTGTTACATGAACCAGCAGAAAAAATATATATATTTGTGTGTAGTGTCTGCGTGAAGGATTGCATATGTACATGCATATTCGGACATACCTCCATTTCTGTGTAACTGTCCGTTTAGCCAAACGAATGTGTGTGCACATGGCACTATGCGATTATTCGCACGCGCGTACAATAACTTAAGGATGCGTTGTTTTTCGAGTTCACCAATTCATCTATATGGTGCGCAGTTTTGTGCTGCGCAAATTCGTTTTGCTGTTACGTGCAGAAAATTGCTGGACAACATAGCAGTTGGTGCCTTTGCAGAATTTGTGCGTGGATGTTCCTTTTGAAACAAGATATTCAGGTGCGGAATCAACTATATATACATATATATATATGTATTTTTTGGCACATTTTGCAGAAAAACGATGAATGCTTAAAAGAGGTATGCGTAATAAATAAAAATAATGCTGTGAAAAGCGAAAAGAAGGAAGGGATCAATGATAAAATCAAAATGTGCAAACTAAAAAGCCAGTGTAGTGGTGTCAAGGGTGAAAAAAACCAAAGGGGCGAACAGGCAGAAAAGAGTGATATGAAAAAGCGAGCCAAGAAAAGTGAGAGCGCAAGTAGTGAATCCGTCAAAGAATCGTTAGAAGAGGAATTCGATGGGGAAGATGAGGATGTAGACGGTGAAATCGATATGGACGCGGACTTGGATGTGGATATGGAACCCCATTTAGATGAAGACGAGGAGGATGAAGATGCCGAAGGTGAAGGCAAAGACGAAGCATTTGCTGATGCCAGGAAGTATTTTAAAGAAGGACAAAAATGTATTACCCCCCCGAACGGTGATGGTACAAGAGCTTTCTACGAAAGTCTACTTGAAGAAAATCCCAATTCAATCATTGCTATAAAGTACTGCATAGAACATGGAGTTCTAAGTGGTACGAGACATCACCAGGCGATATATAAATATAATGTACTTAAAAAAAATAACGCATTTAGAAATAACTTGGGAGGTCTACGAGGTGAGTTTATTAAACTGTTGGAAAAGCCTCCTAAATCTGAAGAGGGTTCATATGAGGATTCTGATGGGGAGTTGATAATAAAGGAGATTTTAAGCAAATGATATGATTGCCAGGTGAAAAAAAGGGGGACAGTGTGCCTACATATTTAAACACGTTTCTGGTTTCATTTCAAAATAGACAACTGGTTTGTCAAATACAATGCAAGAAGTGTGGCTTTGCACTTTGTAAGCAGTTTTAAAAGAAAGTACGACCACCATTTCTTTACAAATTATAATTTCTCAAGCTTTCTTTACTTTATATACGATTTAGTATTTCCGTTTTAGCTTTTTTACGATCAAATTTGAAGTAATTCCGCACTCTAATAAGGGGGAAAGGAAAAAAAAAAAGGAAATCAACATTTTAGCCTATTTTGGTTTATTTTTCTTTTCTTCGTACCTGTTTGAGAGATGCTTTGTTATTCTGTTTATTTCTATAGAAATATAGCCATATTTGACTTCCACACCATTTACACAAATTTTTCTTTAAATTTTGTTGTGATGATAATTGCAGAAGCAATTATATACACTATTTTTTACACCTTTGTATTTGGAGCGCCATTTCTGAATGATTTTTCATCCCATTTTTAAATGATTAAAAAAATATGCATTTTAAATGGTATTTTGTGCATATGCAACAAAGAGTAGCGCCGTTTTTAAGATTATTTTTTGTGAAAGCTTTTAAGAAAAGCAAGATGTTCATGTAAAAATAAGTATGCGTGTAATCTTTCACAAATTTGTGAAGTGACACTTATAATTTTACTTATATGTGGAAACTGATAAATAGAAGTTTCCTTGTTCCTTTTTTTTTTTAAAACATTTTCGCGAGAGCTAATTTTTTTCCTTGTTTAATTTTTTCGTTTTTTCTACGTACATGTAACTACTTTAAAAAATGTAAAAATTTGAAACAATTCTCTGCGAAAGTTATGAAGGAAGAAGGGCATATTTTTCATGAGGCGAATTTGCGGAAGGGAGAAATATTGTACAAAATGATTTTCAATTTTCTGTTCATATTATGATTTATTTGCGGTTTATTATATAGAAGTTGGATTATTTTTAGGGGTAATATAAAATTGTATAAAAATAACCATAGCGGAAGGTATTCATTTCAGGAAACTGTTTGATTGGCCGCCTCGCACAACGCAACGGGGTGCGATCTTTCAGATGCCTATTCGCTGATATCTACTTATATGCACACATTTTTGCATGTATTTACGCTTTTGCATTTGCGTATGAATTATTTTTCAAGTCGAGAAGGACGAAAGACAATACAGAAAATGAAATTTTCAGGAAAAATGGAAACTGTTAAAATTATGTAGTGTTAAATTAAGAAAATGAAATATGTCTTCCAAAGAACAGCAACGTAATGGACAAAAAAAGGAGCATAGTTAAGAAGCCGGAGAGGGGGAGCTTCCTGCTGGATCACAACAGTGAATGCACATCAATAAAAAATGATTATTTAAAATGCTTAAAGGAGCACAATAATGATCATGTTAGTTGCAGAGAATATTCCAAAGAATATTTTATTTGCCGAATGGACAAAAATCTACTCGAAAAGCAAAGTTTAAACGATTTGGGCTTTTCTGAAAATGAAATAAATCACGAGAGCCGCATAAAACACTTCAAGGATGTGTACAGTTACAATATGTTTAATGAAACAATGGAGAATTTTCCAAAGGGGTGGGCGCTTAAAAGAACTGACATCGCAAGTGGTGCAGTTCCCAAAGAGGACAAATTTACACAAAGGAAGCAGGACAATAAAGCGGATATGAAACTAGGAGTCGGAGACAATTTCTTGCTTTTAAATCTTCGTAACGATAAGGAAGGTGAACAAGATTTAAATGGAAAAGTGTTCGAAATTACGCAAGAAAAAAAAATTGCAGTAAAAAGGAAGGAGGAAGCAGGTTATTTGGCTGGAAAGGAGTACATAAAAACTTTGGTGGAAAAAAAAAAAAGGCACCCCCTTTTTTCGTATAATATATTTAAGAATAGTAACACATAAAATGTGTCACTTGGGGTGAACGTACGAAAGTGGCAAGACTGTTTAGTTAGGAAAAGAAAAACAAAAAAAAAAAAAAATTTTAAGTAGCAAAATTGCCATCAGCCTCAATTGTTCTGTGCTGCTCGCCCCATCTCCAAACTGAAAGACCTTTAACTGCTCATTTCGTATGTAATGAGGAAGAACAGCTAACGCTTACTGGAGCAGAATTAAACAGTGGAGAGTTAAATGAAGATAACGTGTGTGGGAAGTTAATGCTGTGCATGAAACTGACGCCATTCTTTGTTGCGAAAGTAACAAAACGGTACTTTCCACAGGGCAACATGCCAAGGGAGGAGTGAAGAACAAAGCAATTTGTTTTTACCCACATACGTGTCCATATGCATACAGCACATTCGTTTAAATTTACCCATGTATGCGCATACGCATAAACATGTTTATTCCCTGAATGCTTATAAACGTTCACATACGCACATGCGTCGTTCCAGCGTTTGTGCCTTTCGTTGAGGCTATATTACTCTGTCATGTTCGTTTTCTACATCGTAACTTTCCAAACGTATTGGATAAGGGGAACCATTACGTATATTTGGCACTTAGAATGTGTTTAGGTTTATCTCTTACACCCTCCCTCTACGAATAAAACGTAAAAATTGTTACGTATGCCTTAGCATACTTGAGTTTGTCCTATATGAAAAAAAAAAAGTCTATTCCCTTCTCACACGTAACAATTATTGAGTAAGGATACAGAATGAAGCTTCTGTATTTTGTGAAATGAAGAAAATGTTGTATCACCGTTAGTGTTTTAATTTTTCCGCCTTTTAAGGAGCGTTAATCGGTATGCTATATGTGTAAATGCAAAAGGTGGGGAAATAGCTTTTTTGGTTAAGGTTAAGATTTGGGCAGACAGGATTGAATGCAAAAATGGCTAGTTAAAAGAAAAAAAAAAAAAATTATTAAATGTGAATGATTATACAATTCATTTCTCCCAAATGGACAAGTGGTGTTTCGGATGCAGTCACAGATTAAGGCAATTTTTAATAACAGCTGTTACTGCGTATATAAACGTTTTTTTTCACTCTGTTGCTACCTTCATCGGCATATATCGACATCTCCAAGGACAGAAAAATCTGTTCTTTGGGAATTTTTCCTCAAAAATTCCAAGGATAATAAATTAAGCAAAAAAATGCAATTTTTGGTGCGTATTAAAGAAAAAAACAAAACGGCTTCCATATCGTGGGTATAAACACTAGTGGACTTTTTCCCAAATTTCTCTAAGTGCATGAAAAATTTTAACACAACCTTGTCGTTAAATGCCATAGGTCAAAAGAAAAATAACTATAAAATTGAATTGTAATAAAAATAATTATACATATGCGTAATGTAATGTACATATCTTTGTGGTCTCATGCTGTTGTTTTGCACAGGACCGAGGTAAACCTGTATTGAAAAAAAAAAAAGAAAAAATCGGTATAAAAAATTTGAAATTTTAATTTTTTAAGAATTTGTATATATTTTATTTTCTCTTCTTAACAAAATTGTTATTATATTTTTTTTTGTCTCCATTTTATGAATACACTTTTATAAAACTTAGAACCTTCAAACCGTTTACCAATTATACCACCAGTTACACAATTGCTTTATCTTTTCCCCTTAAGCTATCAACACTTTAAACTGAACAAATTCAAATTTCTATTCTTTCAATTATTGCACTTTGGCATTTTTATTTATTTATTTATTTTTTTTTCTGATATTTTTCCCCCAATGAATGTCAACAGGATGTACTCGATGCAGAAGGACATCATGTATTTACAGTCGAGGAGGAAGGTCACCCAGTATTATGTGCTGTCACTGCTTTCTGATTTTATGAAAACTGTGCTTCTTTTGTTTGATACGTTGATCTTTTGTTTTACCATCTCCACTGCGCTACTCATGATGCTTTTTGGCTATGTGGGTGTCATATCAGAAAAGCCCATTCCTCTACATGGAAAGCTATACATAGGGATCGTTTATTTCGACATTTTGCTGAATTTTTTAATTGCCTTAGTTTGTATTTACAATATATTTAGAATGTCCACCTGGAACTTGTCGTACATGGCTAAATTTATTGTAAACCGTAATTTTTTTTATTCCATTATGACCATGATTATTGGCCTTTGCCTCCTATCCATTGTGTTTAATATATATGTCTTGTATTACAGGCGAAGGTTTAAAACATTGGTAAGGGCCATAGAAAATGAAACCAAAAATGCAAGAGCAAATGCTAGGCTATATTTAAGGTCCAATTTAAGGTCATCTACCAAAGGGAGCAAAAGTGCACGAGGAAATGCAAACATGAGGACAGATGTGCAAAGAAATACGGGTATAACGGAGAGAGCAAACACAAGAGGCAATGTCTATATACACGGGAATGTATTCCACCCAGAGAGTGTACCCACCCCAGGGAAAGGGTCAACAGCGGGGATTCTCCCCGCAGAAGGAAATGCGCTCGAACCAAAGAATGCGCAGTCCAACAGAAATGGGAATAAAAGCAGAAAGGCACAAGGACATACGAGCACACCCAGAAACGGAAAGGAAGAACGAGCACTGAGCGGGGAAAAAATAAGCATTACTCTTGATGATAACACTGGACCAGATGGAAAACCTTTGGAGGACTCATTCACATTGGAAAAGCCTTACTTTAATGTTGCTAAGATGGTATTCCCCCTGGATCCAGACACAAAAATAAACGATATGGTAGAGGACAATACGAAGGCAAAACTGAACATGAAAAAAAAAATTACACTTGGATTAGATAAGGAGCAGCAAAGCATTGACTCGAGGAGGAAGAAAATTGTGCATGGCGATATTCCCCCAATGAAAATAGAAATTGTCAAAGAAGAAGTAAAAGAGGAGCTACCATCTATGCGCATGGAGGAAAAAGAATTGTTCCAAGTTAACACTTCTAAGAAGGAAGTGCACCAGGGGGAAAATGCTGAGAAAGAATTACCTCAAATGAGTAATGTTAAGAAAAACTTCTTGTAAAAAGGAGGGGAAAAAATGTACTTGTATAATAAATTACCGTATATTATGGAAGGAATGAAGACCTCAATACAAATGAGGTGGAGCGTTTCATTAGGGCCGCATTTGTACAGGTTTAGCTTTAGGTTTAATAAACTTTTAATGAGTCCTCAAATTACAAATCCTCGCCGGGATGAATTGCCAAAATGGAGAATATTCATATAGTTCTATGAACACGTAATAAACACAACCTCCATATAGTAGCGTTTTACGCATAATATTTTGAACTTAATTGAAGCATTCCTTTTGTGCTTTTTTTATGTTTTACTCTTTTTCTGGGATACCTAAGTACATGACTTGATGTGAAGCGATCCTTATATATTTTGCTTCCTATTCTCCTAGTACCCGTTGATATTATGATACAAGAATTCCTAGGAATTAATTTTTCTTTCCTTTTTATTATCATTATTGTAAAGTATTCAATGTGTAAGCGTTTGTGATATTATATGTAATACTATTCGAATGTCACGTTTTGTAAAAAATGTGGCGTCAGCGTGTACGTATAAATATCTGCCCCTTCGCGTGTAATGTTAGGGGAAGGGGAAATGCTGCCCTTTCAACTCACACGCCAATCGATTCAAATGAGCATTTGTATTGTTAAATGTGTCATAGAATTATTTGCTATGCATAATAACAATCCAGTGAAATTATGGACATTATATATAAAAGAAAAAATGCCGAAGGGAAAAAGTGAATTTTTGCACGGAAAGTTTTTACTTTTTTATATAATATGCATAATAAGCATTAACTATAACCAAAGTGGGACGTCAGTAAAGATTCACCTATATAAATCCTACTAGAGGGTACGATTGCATAATAAATCCGAAATGTAGTCTCCCATGTCTTCAGCGGGGCCAAACTTTCAAGATATGAAGAATACGACGTGCAAATGTAAAAACAAAAAAAAAAAGTACACCATCGCACGGGGCGAAAAAAAGGGGTTAGTAGGCCCTTGTAAGACACACCGGAATATGTACTCCAATTTATGTTTTTTCGTGTGAATACTACTTTTATAGCTTTCTGTTTTTTTTTTCTCTCTTTTCG